TTAGTTTGAATCACGGCTCATTACAGTCTCCAGCTCAGTTCACAGTGAAGTTTGACTCAGTTTCACTTCAGGTTCACTTCAAGTTCATTAAGAGTGAATGCTGACTGTCTTTACAGTACAAAGCTGGATGTATAAAGTCCCTCTGCTTCCTATTCATTGATTTGACCCTGATTTATCCCTGGAAGATCATAGATAAATTCATCACTGTTTCATTTAATTCTCATGCATTTTTAGTTTATTATTATTATATACCACAAGGGAGGGGACCCCTTGGGGTGCCCTGTGTTGTCTCCTGGTGTGACGTTGGCAGCAGATCCTTTGGGTCCTGTGGGCTTCAGGGTTTGGCCTCTGTGGACTGGCTTTGTTCTGCTGCTTGCTGCAGATGCTTGTACAGACTGGGATCTGGGGACTCTGAGAAGCACAGCAAAGAGCCTGAGGCACCGATGAGGCTCCCAAACAGTTTCTGATCAGTTTTGGCGGTGTGGTTCAGCTGGGGGAGGTCACTGCTTTTGGGGCGTGCCATTGCTATTGGAAGCAGGTGCTTAGTCTTGCAACAATGTTTAGGTGAGTTATATTCATCAGAGTAACATGAAAGCACAGACAAAAGAACATTTATGATGAGTTAGCCTGGCCTAAATGGAGCTACACCACAAAACCTGTGGTGGATAGATGTTGAAAATGAAGAACCTTATGTCTGCGAGTCTACTAAAATAACAATGACAATAACAGCATAAAAATGAACCACTATTGCCATTACAGTGTTGTGTAATGACAATAGTGGTTTTAAGTCCTTTACACTTTTTTCTGTTCGCTTTTTCTGATGTCATTCATATATTTTTGTTTTCCCCTTCGTTAGTCTTTCAGCCTCTTCTTCCATTCATCCCACTCTTTCTCATGGTTTAAACTCCCTTCATCCTCCATCCTTTTCCCTCCTTTCCCTCATCCTTTGCTTGTCCCACCTCTCCCTTTCTCTAGGAATCATATTTCCACGGAATGCTGTGTTTCCATTAGAGCTGCTAATAGAATTATAGTCGGTCACATAAGCTTGTGCAACACACACAAACACATGTCCGTGCATATGCATGTGAGAGGACGGACGCACAGGAGAGACACGCGGTCAGACAGATTAGTATTATTAAAGTTTACTTGCCTCTAATCCTCTCAAACTCGCTCATACAGCACACATACTAACAAACACACTCTCTCGGTGGGGTACACCCTGTGTGAGGAGCAGGCTATGTGAGATAAACTGATCACACAGCAGTACAATATGCTGAAAGTGATTATGTGTGAGTGTGTTTGCGAGTGTGCGTTTGTGAGAGATAGAGAGCAAAGGAGAAATGATGATGTGCAACAGAAGTCAGGAAGCAGTTATTAGCTCGCACTGAAGGAAGATATGCTCCAGTATAAAGGAGCATCTGAGACAGAGCCAAAATGCATGTTTGATAAAAGAAAATTTTACTATGCTGATTTTAAGAAAATCTCTAAAATCAACCCCTCATTTTATTTAAAATAAATAAATAAATGAGGGGAGTTTCAGCCAAGTAATGAGATGAAAGATATGCTCGAAAATTGAAACCACAGTGGTTTTTCTCATAGGACACAGCTGCATCTGATACCAAGTGACTTCATTGCTGGTAAATGTAAAGAGCACCTCCTTGGGCATGACTGCTCTATTCAAAGCACACTACTCTTTAAATATTTGCAGATCTGGTGCTGTTGTTTCTTACTGCATTTGTTTGTTTTTTTTTGTTGTTTTTTTTAAGACCACTTCTACCTTGAGGGCATCGCAGTTTATTTTGTAATAGAAGCAATAAAGTTTATTTATATAGCACTTATCCAAACAAATATTACAGCAGACTTGCCATAAAAAAAACAACTTACCCACATACACAAATAAAACCAGCAATCCACATTATTAATAGAACAAATCATAACAGAAAAGTCTGAAAATGCAAAACCGCTATATCAATAAATACTAAGAATGAATAAGAGTTCGCTAAAAGGCTAGCTTTGAGTTATATTGTTTTCCTTAAGGATGACAAGCCAAGCAAATGACGGATGTTATCACTATAAGGAGTGGAATATGGCTATCTATTCATATTTTCATATAACATTAACAGTAAGACTACATTTTGGTTGTATTTCAGTCACTAATCCCAACAGAAGGTCGTGTTAGTTGCTAGCTAAGCTAGCTTATGGCATGTAAACATGCTAAATCAAGTATTATAAGGATCTACTAAGTTATTTTTATGTCATTGGTGTATTATGGTTTTGTGTCTTGACTTCTGCAGTGCTGCAAAAAGTCCTTGATCCCAAGTTAACTTGTTGGTGATAGCTGTGAGTCAGAGTAGCTAGCTCTTTGCTATATTTCTAAATGTGTTGTGCAAAGTAAATGTAGCTGTATGCGCATAACATCTTATTCACTGTAGGCCATTTACGCAAAGTAGGCTACGGATAATTTTCTACAATGTCTTAATATAGCTATATCTAGCTGTACCATTGTTTGTTTGTTTTTTGGTTACATTAAACTTATTAGTGGTATAAATGGTTTACGCCACAGTTGCATGCAAAAAATGCTGAAATTAGTAACTAACTTCTCAAATAAGTCCAGTGTGTTGTTTCTTTCTGTCATGTGTGTATAATATTTGTGTTTTCTTGTTTTTATGATTGAATGCCTAACACAGTTATCATCATCATTGTCATGCATATTTATATAAATATTGGACTTTTTTGGATCACTTAAGTAGCATTTAAATACAAGCACATTTAAGACAGTTGTACTGTTTTTCATGGGCGTATCAGAGTCCAGTAGCTGTACATATTTGAAGATTCAGTGTGCTTGTTGAGGCTTAAGAGTTGTTGTTAGAGGCATGGTACATGGATTAAAAAGAGAGGGAAAGAAAAATAGGGAACTAATTATACTGATTAAGTAATTAGCAACTTCAGTAATGAATTTTAATATATCTTTAGTAAGGGATAAATTATTATGTTTTACATTGCCAAAAAGCATGTGAGATTTGCCAGCACCCTTCTAAGTTGCTCTTGACGAGTCAAATTCTGTGGATAATGCTACAGTCACAATGAATTTATAATCTTGTTGCCTTTGAAATAGTTTCTTCGAAGACAAGGACCAGGTTTGTGACCACTTGCAGGTAGCTGCTGTTTTCAAAACAACTTTGACGCTTCAAGATGGCGATGAAACGCTATCAGTCGGCTATCAGTTTGGCAATTACATGCAATTTGTTTGTGATGATATGCGAATTAACTCTTATAAACGCAAATATGTTAAAAATATTTTGCAGGCCAGTTCCGTTCATCGGCACAGACTGACTGAGATGGATTGCGACATGTTGACAATCAATCACCGCAACTACTTGCATTCAGTCGCTGAATACGAAAAATTTTTTTAGTCCAATCACCAGGCAACCATCCATTTTCCCTAGTCACAGGGATATTGCTGTCCTATTTTTACTTTACTGTGACTGAGTAAGAAAGCAGCACTTGCAGATGATTAGGCGATAGATGTATATACACTCTGTGCATGTGTTATAGTCACTATAGTCCTCAGGATGTGATGTACTGTTCCCTCAGGCCATCGCCCAGTGTGAGTGCATTTGTAAAAACCTGTAGCAGTGAAGTGAGAGGAGCAGGATTTTAGCAGACATTGTGAATGCCCTGTAATTGTAGGATAAATCTACTTCTCTCCTCCTCCTCCCTCTGAACCCACTCACATTTCTCCTTCCTCTGTCTTTCTAGCTCCTTATCTCTGTTGCAACAGCACAGGATGGATTAACTTTACAGAGGTTCTTTAACTTTTGGATTCTTCCTCTTCCAAAAGAATTGCACTTTATGAGATTTACGAATTCAACATTGCTAAATCTACAAAGATTAAGCTTTTCATTTCCACCATGCATTAGTTGTGCTAAAAGATCTAGTGATCTACTATATGGCACTGCAACATCGAGATAATGATATATATTCCAGTTTGTATGATTAAATAGTATATCTACTAAATCTATTGCGTTCAAACAATTTAACAATTTTAAAATTAGTTTTTCTTTTTAATCATTAAAAACAAACATTTTCTGCTTTGATATCAGTAGCTCTGACTACTGTTTCACAAACATACCCTTGTCTCTGCAAAGCACTGTTACTTCTTCCATCTGTAGAAAATTTCCATGTGCACTTGCATGCTTGGCTTTGTGTGAATAATGATTGTTTGCATAAAATTTCAGCGTATAATCTATATGCACAGTGGAAACATTTGTTGAGTTGTCAGAGAGAAGGAGGGCTGAGAGGATATTATAACTGTCTTTAATCTGGCTAAGCATACAGTATGGTTAATCCGGTGTCTTTGTTTTACACCGTCTTATTCCCACGATTTGTTTGCGTAAAACTATGTAATCTCACAGAGATTATTATAATTCTGTCTCTCTCTTCTTTTTTTTATCTTTTATTTCAATACAAGCATTTGTTGTCCCCAGTCTTATTCTTTTCAGGGCTAAACACGTTCTGGATTTTTCAGTGGGTATTAATCTTTAAAGCTGGGAGACCTATCATTTTAAACATGTTAGTTCCCTACAACTACACCCAAAGAACTGTTTGCTACTCAGTTGTTTTTAATCTCCCCAAGTAGACATTGCTAAATTCTTGATTGAGGGATCCAGCCATGCACAAGTGGTACTAGTGCCATAAAGTGTTTCACATGGATGTTGAAGTATTACATTTGATGGCTTGTGATGAAGACATCACAACGTTGCCAAGACCTTAGACTTTCAGTTAAAGCGGTTAGCTCTTTTGAACTCGATAGCTAACAAAAATATAAAGTACAGGGCACCATAACTGATGAGTTTGTGCTTTATCCAGCCTCTTCAGAATAATCTAACAAACCAACAAACTAAACAGTTTTTTGAAGCAAATCCCTTCTATAAGTAATCCATAAATTTATGTAGCTAACTTCCTGTCTCCTCTGTCTTTTCTCTCTTTCTCAATTCCAGGCTCCGACTACTCTCCCCCTCCCCCTCTTCCTCGACCTCCTCCACCTGGCCTGACCAATGAGCACAGTGGTGGCACTAGCCATGGCGACCATGGTGGAGGAGGGGGCGGGGTCAACCATGGAGTGGGCGTGGTTGGTCTGGCTCCAGAGCACATCCCCACACCGGGGGCAGCCCTGAGCTGGCAGGCAGCGATCGATGCCGCGCGGCAGGCGAAGATGATGGGTAATGCCGCATCGGGTGGAGGGGCGGGGCTTGGGTCCGGAGGGCGAGGGCCCATCTCCACGGCCAGCTCCACGCAACGGAAGAGACAGCACTATACCGCTAAACCCAAGAAACAAACCACAACGACAGCCACAAGGCCGCCACGAGCTCTACTCTGCCTCACACTCAAGAATCCTATCCGCAGGGCCTGCATCAGCATCGTAGAGTGGAAGTATCCTTCAACAAACTATGGGCAGAGGGTTGTTCCCTGTGTAGTGCTTTCTCACAGATCAGATCCTTATCAATTGGTTGCATAGTCTAAAGAAAATCAGTTAAAAGTAGAATTTGTCCATGTCAGTTTCAAAATGTAAAGGGTTATGGCCCATCTTTATCATTATACTGGAGTTGTATGATGACATTTCTATATTTTACAACTATATATAATGTTCCTGTGCAAACATATACATGTAGGATAAATATGTTTCAACTGCAAACCACGGACTTTATCTGATCGTATTTCTTTATTGGTCCTGTCCCGTTGTGAAGCCTCAAGCTAAGCTTTTTTGTTGTTGGCATTTTTGAGTTTTAAAACTGGATGTGATGAGAAAGGGGTGAATCCGAGTAAGTGATATATATATATATATAGAAGTCTCCCAGAGTAGAAACTTGTCAGTCAAACGGTGATTCAAATCCTTCCCAAAAGCCCATAAATTCATGAGTAAAGTATTAGCAAAGGTTATAGAGCAAGGGGGGCAATTACAGTTTTCCCAGACTTCTAAAGAAAAAGATATTCTCCCTCTGCTGGCCATTGTATAGAATACAAGCTTAAAGCACTTCCTCATTGGCTCACCTTTAAGGCCCAGAAGCTACATCCATCTTTTATATACAGTTCTTACTGCAACCATATTCCACCCCCTTGTTTTTTAGATTTAGGATGAAATTATTGGAGAGACGCAGATGGAACAGCATGTAATAAAAAAATAGAATTATAGCTAATTGATGTTTTTATATGTATGATTAATAACTGGTAGAGGATGCACAGGTGGATTTACAAACAGCTGATTCTGAAGCATCTTTTTCTGTTATTTCAAAGTGGATTTATGTATGTCTTTTGGGCCTTTTTGTCCTACTGGACATCCATTCCCATTCTTTAATTTTAACTTTAAAATTTCTTTCCAGGACAATGAGTAAAAATTTCCATGGTCCACTGAGAATATTTTATCCCTTTCCTCCCCCCCATAATGATAATCCCGTTCGTATGGGGCTTTAATCAATCTCTCTCTGTCCTCTAGCTCTCAATAAGTGTGATTTTCCCTCTTCACTCAGTAGTCTTAATCCCTTCTCCCCTTCCTCTGCCTGCCCTTCTCCCTCTTTTTCTACTCTTCTCTTTCATCTTACATTCTTTATTTCTGTTTTCTCACAGGAGGGATGAAAAAATTGTCTCATTTTCATCCCTCCTTCACACTTCTCCCCTTGCTATTTCAAAGTGTATTTATCCTCTTTCCCCCAGGTCCATCCACACCTCTGTTCATCCTTTACCCCCACCCCCCATCCTCCACCTAGGAGTCTCAGCATTTAATAGCCAAACCTCCCTCTGTCCACCCAAATCCCAAATTCTTACTGTTCTTCGTTTCAACCCTGCTTCTCCAGTTTTGTTTTGTTTTTTTAAAATCTATTTTTAAGTTCCTGAACATAATGACATGGTTCTCCCTCAGGGTGCGAAAGAGACGGGGAAATGGAGAGATAGATAGAAATGGCCTGTGTCACACTCAAAATAATCAATAGTAGGTGCATGTCCACATAAGCCTCGACTCAGCAAGAGCACAATTGCACACGGTTCTTAGAGGAACAGAAGGAGAGGAAAAGGAGGGGTCAGGAAAATGAGAAAGGCAGGGATGTGGGCAGGACATTGATGTCGACAGGAGAGATAATGGAGCTGAGTAACAGAGAAGGGACGGAGGGAGTGAGAGATTGAGGGGAGGACGGAAAAGGTAAACAAGAAAATAGTGAGTGGAGTGGAGGGAAGGAGGTAGAGGTGTGGGTTTAGAATAGAAGGATCATAAGGGAAGAGAAGAGGAAGGAAGTAGAAAGCAGTGCAAAATGGTAGGAAATAGAAGAAGATATAGGAAGTATGTGTTTTAATGCATGTGCTGGGTGGGTTGCATTAACAAATTAACAAGTCATAATAAATCAGTGTTGATAATATTATAGGCTCTAATGGACCTCACATGTTCACACTATAAGCTAGTCTGAAAAACATTGTTCAGACTACTTGATAATGTCCAGATCAGAAAGCTGAGATTGTGCATTACTGTTAATTGTTTTACCCCTTAGTGTCTGTTAATGAACAAAAAACATCACTGCATTTGGGCTACCTAATGACTTCCAGACAGAAAGATGAATATGCTATACTAGCTCTTTTTGTAGCAGGGACAGATCTAAAGGGGGCAAGGGGAGCAACTGGCCCCCTGCTGTAGAAACTTGCCACATCCAGCAGCCGCCCCAACTTTTATGTCCTTAAAATACTTTTCGTCTGTGCAAGACTGCCATTGTTTTGCCAGTGAGTACTGCACGGTGTGAGCAAAGTTTTTCTGCTTTAAAACTTGTAGAAAAATCCCTTTGTGTTTGTTTTCTTAGATGAGATAATGATACTTTAAATGGTTTTTGTGGATATTTTGGTAATTTGCCCCTGCTTTGCCCCACCATGTAAGGTTTTCTAGATTTTCCACTAACCCATTGTGGATACTACAAAATTCGTAGTATTAAGAGCTGTGCTTTGTACAACTTTACACCTGGAAAAACTAAATGGGAAGGATACTTTGGCTTTAGCTAGGTGGTTAGTTGCTAACGTCTCTTTACATTCTTTTCCTGTAAATTGCTAGCTAGAGCCTCCTTTCCAACTGTGTCATGAATATGGTGAAAGACAGGAAGCAGGAATAGTCAAGGATCAGACTCTCGTCTTTCAGGTCTTTCAGTCATCAAAAAGCAAATTTTATGACTATAACCTAGCCTAGCCTGGCACAGTGAGCATTGTTATCGTCTGAGCCTGACATTACAGGCTATATTTATCAAAAAACTACAACGAAGAAAGTGCTTAAGTTTCACAAATTTTAATTTGAACAAAGGTTTCCATTTACATAGATTCCCTCCATCATGCAGGTTAACTTGTGAACCTGCCATGAATTCATGAAAGTGGAGTCAGACCTATATTATTGAGTTTGTTTATGGAAACGGTGAACGTGTCGTCCCGACGGTCACCTTGTGTATCTGTCATTATCGTGCCAATAACCTATCAACTGTCCAGCTGTGCAGAAGCTGGAAAATATAAGCCAAAAGCATGAATAAACCCTGAGGGCTGCTGGAACAATCTAACCCAGTGAACTGATGAGATTATTAGCCACAATTCCCTGAAATCATTCATTTAAACTCAGTGTGGGAAGGAAAAGAGCGTTGGTGAGGTGACAGAAAGAAAATGGACATTAAAATGTGCTCTTAAAGAAAACTGCAGCTAAAAAGGCATGGCCTCTGAGTCACGAAGAAACGTGGAAGAAACACAATTAACACCATTAACACCAAGTCTTTGTTTTTCTGCTTTTCTATTTAACCTCCCTGCTATGGGATGTCCTTCGTAACTGCAGTGCGGGCATGCTGTTGAACATGTGGGTGACTCGGTGTCCACTCTGGTGTATGTTTTGTTTATATATGTGAGGCTTTATACGTGCATGTCCTGTGTACTGTGAGTACCCCTGTCTCTGGAGATAGAGATCCAAAATCCTCCGCTTTTCCTCCTCTGTTACCATGACAACTGCTGCTGCTCTCAACAGGTCAATGGGGCCTGTCTAAGCTCACACAAGCACACACTCAGATTAGAGAACACACAGCAACACTCTTGAAGAACACACACGTACTTGAACACAGATGATAAAGGACTAAAACACAGACACACAGTGCTCTCGTGTGCTGTGTAATTATAGCCTGGAAACATTACCTGCACGCTGCAAGGTCAGCGAGAGAGACATCTTCCTAACTACCATGTTCTCTATATGAAATCACACTAAGTTGTCATTTTCAAAAGGTGTTATTTAGCGCATTTACAAACAGACACATGCATGCACACACTTCCCAGCTACAGCCAATAAACTCCACAGGCTTACATGAAGAATTGCACTGTTCGTATACATTTTCAAACTCAGGAAACTAGATATCGGGATATCAGCATAACAAGTAACCTCACTCTCCTCGAGTATAGCCCAGATTCCTTACGGGCTTTTGAAAAGATAAGAGATTATCTGAGTTATTGTAAACTGTATGTGGCGTTTATGTGATCCAACTGTATAGAGAGAAGCTCTAGAAATAACAGCTTCAGGGGTACTAGGATGCAATCCCAAAGTGAAATTCTGTTCCAAGAAACACAGTTAGCCTGTCAGAATGCAGAATTTATATATATATATATATATATATATATTTGTGTGCTGCTGTCTGAGGCATGTAGCACCCAGGAAAATGTTACATTGTATCAGCCATAAAAGCCTCTCAGCTTCATGGATGTTGATTTCAATTTTATTTACTCTGGTTAATTTTAGAGCTCTCAGTTTGCTTGCAGCAAAATGCTGATTCCCAGTGATATTTCTTTATTTCCTGTGGTCTTAAAGATGCATATTGCTATTGTTGTTATGCTAATTAATGTACGTTACGAATAGATTTGGTACAGACCTCCCAAATTTCCTCCAAGTGTTGTTTTGCTCTCAACAGCACAGCAGACAGTAGATTTATTATCATGCTGATGGAAGCAGACCTCAAGGGTTTTTGAAATTATGGGTCAGGAATGCAGAATGAGTCACAGGCCTATTTTTCAGTGGGTCCCCATATGTCTGAAGTGAGTTTAATGAGCCCTTGGTAGAAGGGTGAGTGATTAACTTTGATGCATTTTGGTCCCAAGCTGAACGAGCTGAATGATCTCGTGGCCGATGGTGTTCAAGAGTCAATTCTTAATCCAAACATAAACAAAACATTTGCTTGATGGTAATAATTTGAAGCTCTTTCTCTTTTATGTGTTTACAGTGCTGTTCTTACAACAGAAGTTAAGCCTCTAAAATGAATAGGAGGTCTGTTTCTAGTCACACAGCAATTATTAATGGTGCAAGTAGTATGATTGCTAAAATTGTTGGGGCCATTTTTGGGGAATTACTTACCCATTTCTTATTGGTCATCTAAACCTATTGCAAGCAATACTTCAGAAGACTATAAGGCTGTGATCTGTAGAACTTGTTGGGGTTAAAACGAGAAAATCCAAAGTAAATTCAGACTTTTGCATCCAATTCTTGTTTTTTTTTTGTTTGTTTTTTTAAAGTCATTTAAGATGTGTGCTGCAGAATTATTCCACTCTGGAACAGTTCAAAGAAAACATTAAAACCCCCAAATTACCATGGCATTCATGCCCATGTTGAATGTATGTAAACTTCTAACCATATCTGAATGTTGATTTATTTTTTACCATCTGCAACTCTAAATAAGAAGTTTATGACAGGCCAGACGGATCCATGCTTTAATGATTTCTGCATCAAATTCTGACACTACCGTCTGAATGTAGCAGCAGAAATTGAAACTCATCAGACCAGGCAACATGTTTCCAATCTTCTATTGTTCAATTTTGGTGAGCCCATGTGAATTATCGCCTCAGTTTCCTGTTCTTAGCCGACAAGAGTGGCAGTGTGGTCTTCAATTCCTGTAGCTCGTCTGCTTCAAGGTTTTATGAGTTGTGCTTTTGGTGATGTTCTTATGCAACAAGTGGCCTCAACCATGTCTACATGTATAAATGCAATGAAGTGCTGTCAAGCGATTGGCTGATTAGATTAATTTACCAGTTGTTACAGCACCTGCCAAACCGCCACTTCCAACTCCAACAGTGAGATTCGGTGTAGTGAAAAATTAAACCCTGGTCTCAAGGACAAAAAAAAAACCCCAACTGCTTTCGCGGTATGATGCAATATGTTAGTGTCAGTTAATATATATGACTTTGCTGATGGTTTGTCTTCAGGATTGGAGGTTTTGACAGCCCGAGTCATCAGTACATTGCTGTTTACATTATACCTTGAGGTCTGGAGTCTAGACCAATTTGATATGCAGCCGAGAGTGAAGGCAGACAGGAGGGGAACAAAGTAAGAAAAGGAAGGTAAGAATAGAAGAAGAGGGAGGGCAAGAAGAAGGTGGAGGGAGGTGACAGCAGTGGCGGTTTGTAATTGTGTTGATGAAAACCAGAGCTCCTCTATCTCTCCTTCACACTCTCTCCCTTTCTTTCTCTTTATCTGTAGCTCTCCTCTCTCTCCCACCCCTCTCTTTCTCTCTCTCTCTCTGAGGCCCAAAATAATGAGGTCACTCCCCTCTGAAGGACCGTTCCAAATAAAAGCCCTCTGTGTCTCTCCTCTCTTATTCCATCTTGCTCTCACTCTTTCCTCATCCCGTCTTCCACGCGACAGGCCTGCTCCTTGCCGCACCCATATTAGGCCATGCAGCGTCTCTCTAACCCTCGCCTCCCTCCACTACGCACAAAGAGGTCTCTAAGTAAGCCAGCGTGTGTCATTGTTAACAAAAAGCCAAACTCACTGACTTTGATCTCTCTCCTTGTGTACACTCCTTGTGCACTCTGCGATGTTTATATATACCTATGCTTATGTAAAGATGTATTGCTGTGGTTAAAAATACTTCTCTGTTGAAATAACATGCTTAATATGAAGACTTTTTCTATACAAGGAGGTCAGAAACCAGAGTCTATATTATTTTGTGTTTTCCATCACAGATTTTAAAACCAACTCTGAGGTACTCCAAAAGCAGAAGAAATGTATTTGACTCAGTTTAATGTTTTTAAAGTGTACTCAAGTAAACCAAGATAATCATTGCTATGTAAATGCTTCTGTATCTCTTGTTTTGTGTACACTATTCCACCTTAACTTTTCACTCAGACCATTTGAGATCATCATCCTGATGACAATTTTTGCCAACTGTGTGGCCTTAGCTGTCTACATCCCCTTTCCTGAGGATGACTCGAACGCCACCAACTCCAACTTGGTGAGTAGTGCATGATATTTAAGCTCTTTTACAGCTCAGTATGCTTGCTTGCGGCTTGGTATAATAGATGCTGCTTGGTTCACTGGGTATGTTTTTGCAGTCCTGTTGCTTCGGCCTGACACTTGAGTTACCTTGTGTTTGTAGGGGGTGATTTATTAAGCAATTCATTAGCAGCATTTGCTGTTTTTCCTTAGCGTTCTAGCGTGTAATTTGCACATTTCCGGTTGATTCATCCTTGTATGATTTACTGTCATGAACTGTATGCGGTTTTGCCAAGTTAGCGAAGGTACAGCATAAGAATGAGCGAGTAAAATTAATGAAAGGCAGAAACTTTGGGGAAAACGGGCATGGAATTACCCTAATTTTTTGAAAAGGTTATTGATTATAACTTTTAACTTGAGTTCAGAGTTGTATGAAATATACAAAGCTTTGTGGGTTAATCTGATCAAAGATGAGGCCTCATTTTTTGTGGGCAAAACCATCATTTTGGTGTGCAAATTTGCAAATTGTATTTTTGCATTGTTCATTCATATGTTAAGAGTTGATAAAAAGCTTTGTATTAAACCTTTGAAAAATTTAAATGGGTTTCAGAGCTACACTGACAGTAACCACAATGATGACACGTTAAACTCAGCCATGATTTGACAAGCTTCTTGTGATGTTAGGAATGCTTGGCTTTTTCAGTCATAAAGTGTCCCCATAAATGCTCAGTGAGGCTGTGGTCAGGTGCTTGCAGAGTATTACAGGTGAAGATTGGCGTTACACTTAGCAGTCAGTTGATTTACTGCTATTGTCCAGTTTTACAGTGTCCAAAATAGTCATGATTATATTTCCCTTGTGAGTTTGATACACTACAGTATACAGTATCAGCTTTCTCCTGTTCCTTACACGCACCCTTTTGTTACTGCTGTCATTCCTTTTTAACAGGTCTTTAGTGGACTGAAGTGTTGTGTACTTCATTTAGCAAATCCCGCAACTGTGGTGAAGCTACTTTTCTGTCTTTCTGTGAAAATAACGCCTGATCTATTGATCTTTTGATTATGTGGTCAGTTTTGTTCTGCCTGACCGTGCTTGGGAAACAGCTGAACCAGTTTCCACAAAGCATTTGATGTGACTTACACTTCCCCCTAAGAATCCTTCAGCCTAGCCATGAGTTCATATTGAGAAGTCCTCTATTTAGCCCTCCTTTAGCACACTTGATTCTTCACATTTAGCATCTCAGCTTCTTGTGTTTTAAAATGTTTCCAAGTGCTCAAAGGATTTCCAGGTTTCTATGACTGATATTCAGCGTGGTTCCAAACTTTTAGACTCGACTGTACATGTGATTTATGTGCGTCACATATGTGTGAATGTGTGTGTCAGCTGGCAAATGTATGCCAGTGTATAGTTACAGGGTTTTTCCTGGCTCGAATCTCTAGGGCTTGACTGTGACTGTTAAAATAGTGAGTCTATTTTAACTCATGTGACAGAAATCTATGCATTTTCTTGTTATTTCATAGAATTCTTCTGTTAAAAAACGAATGTTAATATAATGCTGGTGATTTTTCCTTTGGCTCTGGCTAAAACCTCTTTGGGAGATGCCAAAAAATCCTGTATGCAGACAAAACCTTATAGTTAGAGGAGACTAATCCCTCTGAGGCCTTGTAACATCTGGCACTCTGTTTCCAACTCTTTCTTTCCTTCTTCCTAAGGATATCTTGTACAACTCACACTTTACTATGGCCTTCACATTTCCACACATCTCTACATGTTTGGAGAATGGTTCCGTCTTGTCTTCTGAATACAAATAGCAGAAAAAGAGGCCCCATTTAGGCTTTTTTCACCTTGCATACTCATAATGTTGTGTTGGACTTACAGCACATCTGTGAATGATTAAATATTTGTTTTTATTTGTTTAACTGTATGCCAACCCTCTAATTTCTCGCATAAAGATACAGTGTCAGAGCAGGTGCATATGAGTCAGCAAACAGACAGCTGTTTTTTATCTTCTAGATCCATGCCCATCACCTACTCTCTCTGCTTATCACGCTTTGCTTTTTAGCTCTTTAATCACACTCTTTCATATAATTTGAAAGGTTCTATTTATGTTATCAAACCGTTAATAAGATTAGCAGCACAGACTGACAGAACTTGATCCTTCAGAGGCATCGAGAAAGGCTGAACTTTCAGGTGAAAAGCAGCTAGCGCAGTCATTCATGTTGGAAACCCAAATGGAAATTCTGTTTTATGTAAATATTATTTTGTCTTTCAGTGCAGAAGAGGTTTTCACTTGAAATCTGAACTGTGTAATAAGTCTCTCAGTTTTTCCCACCGTATGGAAGCACCGTAGAGGGCTTCAGTGTTCTGAAACCGTATAAAGCACAAAGCCCTGGCACACTGTGAGGAACACTGTTAGATAAAATGCAAGGCCTAAACAAAACTACTGTCAAGTCATATATTTTTGCCAAGTTTTTCTTTTTTTTTTCTTTTTTGGACCCTACGGGTGGCCCCTCCCCACCTCCTAAGTTAATGAACAGATACAACACACACAACCACTACAGCTGTGCTCAATTAGTTTTATAACCTTCTGACAGACAGGAAGCAGTGCGCAGATGGACCAGAGTCTTAAATATACCGGCGAACCATGTATATGTAAGTGTCTGTGTCTGTGCAGTATTAACAACTAGGCAACTTAAATCAAAAAGTACTTTTTTTTTTAGGCGGGTGGGGGGATAGATCTATTGCACAGCTGTCTGGCTGATTAATGTGTGGAGGCATCAGTGGTTCAGATCTCGTTTCACTCAGACACAGATGTCGTCAAATGTGTGACGGTACAAAAAATATGGTGGTGGAAATATTCCTCAGAGGTTTTGGTGCATATTGGCATCATAGCATCACACAATTGCTACAGATTTGTCAGTTATGCATCCCTGAGGCAAATCTCCCGTTTTACCACATCCCAAAGGTGCTCTATTGGTTTGAGATCTGGTGACTGTGGAAGGTATTTGAGTGTATTGAACTTATTGTTATGTTTAAGAAACAAGTTTGGGATAATTTGTTGGAGTTTCCATAGTTGCTACTAAGGGGTAAAAAAGTGTACTAAACAAATATCCCCTATCCTATTACACCACCGGTAGCAGCCTACTCTTTGATACAAGATGGGATTGATCAATACTTGCTGTTTATGCCAAATTCTGACCTTACCATCTAAAATCGAGGCTCTTCAGACAAGGTGGCATTTTTCCCAATCTTCTGTTGTCCAGTTTTGGCAAACCTTTGTGAATTGTAGCCTCAGTTTGCTGTTTATTAGCTAAAAGGACTGGCGCACAGTGTGGTCTTCTGCTGCTGTAGCCCATCTACTTCAAAATGTGATGTGTTGTATGTGTCTCAAAGATGCTCTTCAACAAACCTTGCTTGTAACAAGTGATTATTTGAGTTTGAGTGATTGTTGCCTTCCTATCAGCTCAACGCACCCTGGCCATTCTCCTTTGACCTCTGATATCAACAAGGCAATTTCACTCAGGGAATTGCTGCTCATCTGTCAGACACCAAGGAGCATGAGGCAGTAAAAGGCACTTAAATCACATTTCTTCTCTATTCTGGTGGTCAGTTTAAACTTCAGTGAGTAATCTTGACCTTGTCTATATGACTAAATGTGACAGGCTGGTTAGATACTTGCATTAATGTGCAGGTGAACAGGTGTACCTAACAAAGAGGCCAGTGAGTGTATTTTTGTCTTTATTCAAACATCTGCCACTAAACCGATACACCGTTTAATGCTTTTTAAATGTTTTTTGATGTTTTTTTTGTGACAAACACATGTCAGAATGAGAACATCATATTTAATAACAGTGCCTTCATCTGATAATGCCATAAGGGCCTCTTAAGCATGTTCTTTATGTTTACGCTATTTAACAACTGGCCCTATTGAGCTTTTTTTTTCATTGTGTTTGCACAGCAGTAATTAAACCAAAGACTGCCAGAATCCATATTACTTTCCACTTTTTAATTTGCCAGAGTGTCTATTGTGATCCTCATTATATTCACATAATAATTTAGAGGATGGCTTTATCCAGAGCTGCTTTGATTAAGGACACTAACGGCCCAAATGACTCTTAATGCACATTTAGGAAGAGGGAACCTGTGACCATATTGTTTAACCAGCAGGAAACTCAGTGGCATGATCATTCCCGTTACACTAAGATAAGTTAGTGTCACCTTTCCAGTGCTGCAGACTGTGAGGCAGCCCTGTAATGTTAGTTTGAACCACGGGAGTCTTATAAATACTGCCTTCCTCACAGCTTAACCTTAACCTTTTGTGTTGTTATTTAGTATTGTTGTAGCATTTTCCATCCTTGTTGGATATTGCTGTCATTAATTTTCTTTCCCATGTAGCTTATCATTATTATTTTTATCATTAAGTGTTTAGTCCCGTGGGATTTTGTTAGTTTACCAAAAGCTTTATTTCTTTCCATTTCTCCTTTTTTTATACAATTATCCTGCTGGTTGCATATGGCTGTTGCAGTTTGGAATCCATTTGCACAAGTTTCTGCCTTACCGTCTTCACTGCAGCAATGACACACTCCCAAGCTACTTGTTTCTCTTTTTTTTTATCCACTATTTAGTCCACCCAATGATTGATGCCACCTGTCATCAGTCCATTCCTGTGATCTTGTCTTCTAAAGTTTTTTCATTGGCATTATATAAGAAGAACTTGCAGAGTAGCTGCCGTCAACTACAAATGGAACTGAGGAATATTCAAATTGTTCTTACAGTTATACTTTTAAGTATACTTGTAATAATGTATTTATAAACATACTCCCCCCAACCCTGCTTTAATCATACCTGAGTTTCAGATTCAGTGTGGCACCCCCTCAGTAGGTTTGCAAGTCCTTGTTATGTAATACCACAGATCTGTTGTATTTCTCCCAGTTCAAGATTTCTATTTCTGTCTGCATCCCATAATGTGCCGCTCTGTCTCCTTGACGACATGCCCAATAATAGCAGCAGGAGAGGTTGTC